AATCTTCACGTATACATCCAACGTAATCTTCCCCACGTAATCTTCCCGTATATTTCCCACGTAATCTTCCAGTATACATCCAACGTAATCTTCTCGTGTATATACAACGTAATCTTCACGTATACATCCAACGTAATCTTCACGTGTACATCCAACGTAATCTTCCCGTATATTTCCCACGTAATCTTCCCGTATACATCCAACGTAATCTTCTCGTGTATATATAACGTAATCTTCCCGTGTATATCCAACATAATATTCCCGTATACATCCAACGTAATATTCCCGTATACATCCAACGTAATATTCCCGTATACATCCAACGTGATCATTCTGTATTTATCCACCGCTGTCTCCCCGTATACATCCGATTTTATCTTCTTTCATTCTTTCATATATACAACATCCAACGTAATGTTCCCGTATACATCCAACGTAAACTCCGGCAAATATCCCACTATATGTTAGAGAAATGTCGGGGATATCTTAACTATAATTCGCGATTAAATTATTTCACAAAATAGGTATATAATTTTCACCCCAACGCCAGTGAGTATTAGCAGAATTTCTTTTAACTTTCAGCGAAACTTTTCATACTTTTTGAAAGTCTTCCAAACTCCAAAAACAATTAACAACAACAATGTACTTTTGTTACTAAATGGTATATGGCATGGTGTTAAGTTAATGAGAAAAAGGGGCGTTCTTCAAAGAGAAGCATTGCTTAAATCGCTACCCTATTTTCTTACTTCTTTCCGAAATGCATAGGATTTGATCACAAAAAATGATAGTTGGATACATTTTCCTGTATCTCTGACAGTTCCCACCGCTAGCTCTAGTAAGTTCTTTAGCCTCATCGAACCCTTGGAACGTCAGAAGCTCTGAATGTGACATCCTTCGTATGGAAGTAGGCGACTTGTTTAGAAACTACAGGGGAAAGCGAATACCTGAGATCACTCGAATACAAGTAAAAGAAAACGGCATCATAAATATAAAAAAATGATGGCTTTAGTTCGGATTGCCTTTTTTGCTTGTAACCATTGAAAGAAAATTTAATGACCCGAAATCAATAAAATAGCTAACCGCATGTGACATTTTTTGCAATATCATACTTCAAGCGTAAAATAAAAGGTGATTTTACCGAGAGCATGGGTTTTGGAACATGGCGTTGGAATACTTCGTCTGATTTTATGACTAAATACAAACATGTTATTTTTTCTTTGTGCGTTGCATTAAGGTAGTCAATTCGTCAGTCGGTGCAGATTTGTTTTACCCGAAAGGGGGGAAATTATTAGAATGACTACTATCTTATTTGTAAGTTGTTTGTCTGCAGGTAACAAAGGAAACACGACGAATTATTCACCGAACCTTGGATTTCACACGATAAAACTGCATCTTTCAAATTCGGCTATTGACATGTACGTTAATTGTCCCTATTATGAATACACCTTGTCACATTTAGGAAAGCTTACATTACATATATTTACCAGTAAAACGCGTTATCATGATTGTAGCTCTTACTGCTGACTAATGATGACCATTCAGATCTTCGCTAGGGCGGTATGCTATTTCACATGTGACATGCAAGTCGTAAGAGTTATCGTATTGGTCTGACAATGAAATAATACGTTACAACAAAACGTCTTGATTTTGTTATTCAGATTCCGTAATAAATCAGGACGGAGATGTGAATAAAAAAAACTGTCTATATTTAGACGTCTAAATGAGCAGACGCACGCTTTCACGAAAAGTACGACTTAGAGTGTGACTTGGAAAACGATTTTTAAGAGGCATCTGTATTGCCATATGGACATGATAAAGCATATGATGTTGGTCAAACCAAATTTGCTTCTGTTGACAATTTCGACCATTCTTTTAAAGGCGAGTCAGTTTCAAAATACCTGCATTATCATGTTTGGCAACAGTCATAATCGAAATCCCTCGGATTTTACCCACACCAACTACAATCCACCCTTCTTGTGAACTTTCCAGTTCTGCGCCCTTGTGAATTTTCATAAAAATTGTGAACCGCCGCGCGTTGTTATGATAGAACGTGCAGGCTTTGATGATCAAAAGACCATGTATCGTTCGCATTGTACAATGTAATTGATTTGGTTTTAAATAGCTTTCTACAAGCCTTCTATTTGCTCGAGACTACAGTCATGTGCTAGGTTGAGGAGAAAATATGTTTGATCCTTATTTAAATCAAGTCCCAACACAGGTCAAATCATATTTTGATATATCCCTGTCAAAACTATGTTTAGTATTGACCAAACGAAACTCGTTCTAAAGCGAAATCATTGATAAATGAAAAATACAGGTTTGTATAACGTTGTTCGAAAAACAATTGAGTTTTACGGAGAAATTGTCGTATGCGGTTAAGTGATAAATGCAAGTGTCTAACACCTTGGCTTTTTAATGGGGTATGTAGAAACTGGGGTGTAAGTTAGCTTAGGAAATCCCATACATCAACTTATCAAAATAGAACACCTCAGAACTGTATTATGTTCTTAAATAACGGTTTCCAGTCTAACTCGGCAAAACTGTCAATACAGTCAGATATTTCACATCCTCAATGAGGGAATCTTAACTTGTATCTTCACTGGAAAAGGTTTTAACAATTTAAGAGCTGAATAGAGACGGTGCAGCACGAGACCTTGAAGGTATATATGTTAATGGATTTCTGCTTTCAAAAGGATCCCAATTTGAATTCCTTTCAACCAGAACGGTATCTGCGTCTTTGTTGGTTTTGATGAATTATTGATACTGAGCAATTCTAATTAGTGATGACTTTCTGAAAATTCACGCAATTAGAATTCTTGTTTTAGATACGGAAATAATATGTAACGGTAGAGCTGCCATATCATGAATCCGGTTTAGGAAATTTACCTTCTACTTTAAAATTTGACGGTCTCATCTCTCCAACAAACATTGGAGACAGGAAGCTATATCCACATATTTTTTTCTTTTAACATTTGTTCCCATTTATGACGCACGCCTATCAGAAGGTTTTTTTCAATCTAATTCACAACAAGATTTCGGTCCTAAGGGCGATTAGAACACAGGAAGTTCATCTATATCTCTCATCAGGTATACATAACAGAGGCTACTGTAAAGCTACGAAACAGAAGAATGACTTGTCACTCGATTGCAGTGAGTGCTCTGTCCGTGTATCGCTTAGATAGCATCGGCTGGCGAGTTTCTAAATAAACTTCGTGTGTAGCCAAAGTAATGGTGAAGTGATTTTGTGTGATTTAATACTTATAACTAAGAAAGGTATATGTGTTTAGCAAATTGACGACTTTTTTGACAATAGCTGATTGAATGACTATCTGATAAATCCAAAAATCATCAGTAGAAGATGCACCGATTGACACGAAGTAGTTTGGAACATCACATGTCGGATGACGTAAAATGTATCCTTTTTTTTTTTTTTTGATATTTCACTGTCATGACTAATATTTCCGAACCACATTCTTTTTATGTAGATTTACGTATACACTGGGTCTGTCACTTTCAGACAGACTAAAGTCCACTGGTTTGAATAAATCCACTATTGTTTTAAACATACACACAATGTAGTGTATATCCCTTGTAAACGCGTCCTATATTAATCTCGTAATCATTTCTACGAAGTTCAGTTAACCACTTCTCAAAATTACACGACATCCGTCAAGGACACAGAAGATAAAATCCAATTATCGGCCAAGACCTACTTAAATTTCTTCAGATTTTCCCACCATTCTAAGTAACTGTTGTAAAAATCTCCAGTCTCTCAGCGTCAGCAAGCCCGAACTTGTTAGTCTGTGCATCAATAAAAAATCCCAAATGATATCCCTTTGCTTTCAGGGAATATAATTCTAAATTCCACCAGAAATAAAAAAGAAAGTAATTAAGGAAATAATTAAGGTATCCTTAAATTCTCCGTAGCCCAAACTGCACTGTTAATCGATAACTGCAGAATACCAACACAACCAAGCATGCCTCGACACTAGAGAACAATACATGGGTCCTTGCTTAATTTCCATGCAGCCCTCAGTCAAACCATCCAGTCTTATTAAGGCTGAGATGTAAAAGCTAATAAAATCAACCCGAAACCATCTGTTTCAAGGCTGATAATGCTATCACTTGATCTATTCTAATACTATTATATTTTTTGACTCGAGTACAATCCAACACTCCCAGACAAATCATTAATCCGTGGTTTTCCAGCCAACACAGGGAAGTATTTGTTTCAAATCAGGTTTAAATACAATGAATTATGATGGGTCATAATATACGTATATAGATATTTGAAAACAAATCGTTTTGTACTATTTTACAAACATTTCTTAATGAGTTTTGTGTAATACATCCAATAAGCGGTCTGTTTCACTCAGACAGCTCGGTTACTCAAGTTTAACACGCCAACAGTAGAAACACACTGACATATTTTCCGTCCATATGCACTGGTAAGTGTGTGCAAATTCTGGCGACGAACACGACTCTATGTACACAGGCTTTTTATCGAATAAACGTTTAAATGTAGCACCTAGTATACACACACACATGCATGCAAACACCCTGTGCATGTATCGGCCGGTGGCGAGACTGTGTGTGTACATGTCATACACAACACATGAAATATCGTCTGCTCAGTTATGGGGGCGGAGCCTAGTCGTGGCAGAATGCCAGTACATTTACATATAGCTGATAAATTAATTAAGAAAATTCAATGCGAATAGATAATTATAAATTCTACCATATCGAAAATACAAGAAGTAAAATATACTTGATATATCCCGACTCATATCTTTGTTTCATGTTTACGTTTAAATTTATAAAATGTCAACAACTACACGTAAATACACTGGTTCGTCTGTCGGCCGCCATATTGTAGAGATACACACAGAGACGTTCCGCATAACTTCGCATTGATAGAGAAAATATAAAATATGGCCATCCTACTAACATTTATACAAGAAAAACTCAGATATAAACAGAAAATATTAATACAAAATTACCTGTACACCAAGAAAAATTTGCCTCCGGCTGGATATTTGTAATCCTCGTGTTTACGTGGAGAGCTTCCCTGTAGGTCGCAGTGAACGGCAGTGATACCGATAGCTCTAGGTGTAGTCACGTGACTCGCGGTAATTTATAAGGCTAAGCTTCGATAAGAATAGGACAAAAACCGCGCAGCCTATATTAACATGGTAATGCAAGCAACCTAGTAACTAGATTTGAAGAAAAAAAACTGCAGAGCGTGTTTCTACATATTAAACAGCATGTGTAGAATTTGGTCGTTGTTATATAAGGTGAAATTTGAACCTAAAAACCCTCGAATGAAATTCGCCCTAGCTGAGAGAGGTACTTGGAGATCGGCAAATCCTGGGTTGTTTGCCGTGTAAATTGCACTTTAAAAAGTCAAAAGTCACGGGATAATAAACTATTTATATACCAATTAACAAATGGTTTTAAAGAAACAGATTCTGATTATTTTGACTTCGTCGTTATAATCTTGAAATATTAGTTTATTTTTTTCCAAGTATAGCTGATTAACATTAAAAATAATAAAAATTTAACATGAGTTAATATTTTTAATTTCGATTGGTGTCGATGAAAATTCAAATTTTTTCTAGAAAACCAACAGAAATTCGATGGGAAGCTGATTTTGTGTGACTTTTCCGTAAATTACCCTATAAATGTTGTATGATGTCAACTCAGCATTTAGATGATGAATAATTAAATTATAAAAGTGTGTTATAACAAATGAGATATGGTCCCTTTAAAACAAGGACAGAATGCTTAAAATTATTTATTTTCCCGGAAACAAATACCACGATGACAATCAAAAATTGTTTCTACACTCTTATCACGTGATCTTTACTATTAAAAGACACTGTTTAAATCATAGTTATCCATTATGTTATTTCCACAAAATGTAAGTCATCATATAAATATATATATCCCCGTGGTAATACTTCACAAATACTATGATAAGATAATTATATATACAATTGAGAGTATATATATATATATATATATATATATATATATATATATATATACATGTATAGAATCCAAAAGATTTGCATGTGCAAAAAAATGATAAAGAACAATCAATTTTACAGAGATCTATTCGTTGTTAAAATACGCATATAAAAGTCATTTTGGGTATCATAGAATTAGGATCTGGAATGACCAGAACCCTTGTAAAAGTGATAATGATTGATGACAAGTGTTTTAAAACATTTCTCTCGTTTAAAAAAATTCTATGTGTACTTGAGATATAAGTATTTGTAAATGTTATTAGTTCGTGGAAAAAAAGTAAAAACAGATTTCCCATATAACTGGTTATTTATAGACAACATAATTACGAGACTGAGTCAAGTTTCCGGAATTTTTCTCATTTTATAAGCCACACTACTACTTCACTACGTACGTGACGAACGTAATCTTATATTGATTTAATACCTCCTTCGTATATGAATAAGCTTGATATAACGGTGTAAATGTGTGACGAGAACGACACAAGTCGACGAAATGAGGCTGATGACGATGCTAGTGAGTTAATGACAATTTTTTTTTTTTGATATATTTTAATATTGTACACGTACTTAATTTGACTTAGTTTCATTTTAACATGTCAGTACTTTTTGAAAACTGAACAGTACTGTTGTGATTGAATTCCCACATTCCTAACAATTGATGTATACACAACATGCATTTACTTTAGCGTATGTTTTTTTTAGCATAAAAAGAACAAAAATAAGACTTTCACTGAAATATATATTTTTACAGTATCGTTACCTTTTTCAGCCCATTATATTTCAAACTACAAATACGTTTCATTAATGTTTTTATTATGATTAATTATGACGTCATACATGCTTTAACTATAGTATGATTATTAGAATGATTGATATGATATCATTAATGTTAAGATGATAGGATTTAAAATATTTCGATGGTTAGGGACGACGTAATGATTATTCCAATATCATTCCATAAATATTTTAAATGTAATTCGTTCCCAGCGCTTTTTATAAAAACGACAAATATGAAATGATGAGATATTGGTGATGGGTCAATCTGACAAAATGGAACACTGCATCATATTTTGTAAACAGGCGATTGATTGGATGTTTATTAATATCAAAAGTGGACAACAAATCAAAGCTAGTTGATCATTACTATAATTTAAATGTACACATGTTATTTGATTCTTATGGAAATTAATTTTGTTAGTCGATTAATGTGCTGTTGCCCAATCTCTCTGTAACAAAAAACTTAAACAAACAAAAAACAAAAAGCACAGTATTATATTTGGATAATCTACTTCTCCCGGTACACGATACAGCGATTTATCTACACAAAATTCAATTCGATTCGATTTGTGGGACTTTTTTCGTTCCATGACATCGTAACATTGCAGTATTACTATCATAACCACCGGTTTGGTGACCATATCTTAGATGTATAACAACGTTTACATGAAATATTCTTTTACATCGCTTTTCTTTTACTCAGAATATATCTGATTCTACTGTTTCAGATATCGTCAGTTTAATTCTATTCAACATAATATGCAACGATATTGTACCGCAATCCGCTTTTCTTACTTGTATGTCACCAGCATTAGTAGCTTTATGAATTCGATTTTTCAATATGATGTCATTTCTTTATAAAGAAGATATATTATTATATTAGACAATACCTTTTTCTGATGCATATCAGCTATTTCTGTGTCATATCGGACATTGAAATCGAAATGAACCGCTGTCAGAAAAGAGAAGACACCAATTGATACCGCGTACTTTCCGAAACAGAAAGGAAGGCAGCGGAAGGAACAGTGCACCAGAAACAGAAAGGATTTTCACAGCAAGCAACGCGTATATGCCCGAATTAAAAAAGATAGCAACCAAGTGCACATTGAAGGATAGCAGAAAACAGCAACAGCAACACACTAAAACAGAAAAGCATTTTACCAAGACAACAACACTAGCAGCTTACATGCCGAAACCGAATGTAAAGTAATAAAAAGGAATAATGCCAATATCGAAACAAAAGAGAAAGCACCAACACGATCCGCTAAAATACCGAAAGAGAAGGGAAGTCAACAAAACGAACAGCATACATACGAAAAAAGGAAAGTAACAATAATAACAGCGAATTTATCAAAACAGAAGAAAAGTCAACACAAGCAACTGCGTACATACCGAAACAGAAGGGAAGGCAACAACAGCGTAAATTCCGAAACAGAAGAAAAGAAAATAACAGTGTACAAACCAAAACAGAAGGTAAAGCATCTGCATGGTTATTGCAAGTGTCGAAACATAATAAAAGACAATAACAGGTACAGCATACATACCGAATCAGAAAGAAAAGCAATTATGGCAACAGCGTGTATACCAAAACAGAAGGGAAGACAGCATCATGAACCTCGAAGATAGGAAACAGAAACGAAGACAACAACACAAATACGTACATACCAAAACGAAAGGTAAGAATGTAACAGGTACAGCGTACATAGCGAAACAGAAGAATAGACAACATGAATTGATTTCACGCAAAAAAAGAAGACACCAATAAGCGCGATCATGCAAAACAGAAAGTTTGACATCACCCAAATAAAAAGAAAGACGTTTGAAGGACGAAACATTTCCCCAAATCAGTCCATAGATATATAGATATCAAATTTGCATGACAGCAGACAAAATGTCTACATTTTGGTTCCACCCGAGATTTTATTTGAATCTAATCCATTAAACCTATTTGCAATATCATAAAAGATACGTGAATGCAATCCCAAGGTACATATTCACGTTTGGGTGATTATTTACAATTAGAAATAACAGCAGGATCTTAATTTATTACACACATTAATATATGTTTACTTCTTAAGAGTCAATAAAAGGTAATATAGTATATAGTCTTCGATTACCTTATCAATATTTTATCTTTTATATAAATCACTTTGACTTAACAAACAGTGCATCAATACTGCTTAATTGCGTAAATGAGTTTTCATTTCCTGTATGGTTTTATTAAGTCTTAGAAATTTTATTTTAACACGCATTGGAATGAAAACAAGATTCTTTTCATCACATAACTCAAAAAAGTTACATTTTGAATGTTTACAGTTTAAAAGTAAAAGACGTGGAGAATGAAATCAGACGCAGGCAGCCATTTTTGCGCCATTTTCAATGCGTGATGAACGTCATTGTCGATTTTACGATATCACAATCAAGTTCGGAAGGGCGCCGACGATGAAACATGCACCAGGGTATATCTCACTAGTGTCATATACGCAAAAATATTACGTGGGCGAATTCACTGCATAACAGGTATGTAATGATATCAGACTCTATCATGTGTCGGGATGTAGAATAATCAACCCTAGAAGTCACAAAATGTCGTAAAACCGGAGACTTTGCCGAGGGTTTTACCACATTTTGTGACCATGAGAGTGAAATAGTCCATCCTTCACCCCGATATACGAAAGAATATTTGTCTCTCATTTCTCATTCTAAAATATTGAAAAAATATTAGCTTCAGAAATGAACAATGTACGACCGAAGACGCTATATTACACAAAAAACGTATTTCTAACTATGCAGTAAATTGACAAGCTGACAAACATGATGACACGTCAGTTTTTTCGTTGTCGGTTTTATATTTATCTGGTTTCTACATTTTGAACATAATTGTTGGTCCTTTGTAATCATATACTGGTGTAAAAAGTGAATGGTTTTAAATAGTGTATATAAGACATAGAAGAAAACATGCTCGCAGGTTTCTTTTATCTTTAAGCGTCTTTGTTGTTTTAGTGTAGGAGATATGTATTCATAACAAAATACACGTGTCTACTGCTCTCTGAGCGAACTTGCCTAAAGAGGATAAAACTGGTTTTCGCAAAACGGATATATCTTCCGCTGTTAACTAGCATTACCCGTCTTCTTTTGGAGTATAAAGCATAGTAATGCTGGTTTCCGAACCTTCATCATCTGAAACAAGACTTTTAACGCGCGTCGAGTTAGGGTGGTATAAATACCGTTCCTTTAATTGGTCCCACACGTCATTCTAATTAGGTCAAATTAC